ACACACACACACACAAACACACACACACACACACACACACACACACAAACACACACAAACACACACAAACAGACACACAAACACACACACACGCGCCAGTGTGCACAATGAGAAGGAATCTTCCGCAAGAACATCAGAAAAAGAAATCCCGGTGTGGGTATGGACTGAGGAGCTGTCAGATGCAATTGTCGCCCCCCCCCGCCCCCCCGCCCCCCGCTTGCACGCGTGCGCGCGCGAGAGAGAGAGAGTTTTCCATCCATAGGATGAGCAAAACGGGAATGAATCTGTAGGTAGAACATGGAAATATGCGCTGTCGTGGATACTTCCATTTTGCTCATTTCCTAAAGCGTGGCAATGTCAGTCTGTGTGTGTGTGTAGGATGAGCAAAATCAGAATGAATCTTCAGCCAGAACATGGAAATATAATGGTCTCATGGTACCATCGATACGATGAGCAAAATTGAATGAATCTACCGCTAGAACATGGTTGATTTGATTGATTGAAAGACGAAAACAAAAAAATGAGAACAAAAAAGGAGAACGTGGCGATTTTTTTAATTATTTTTTGGATTGTTCAATCAATCAATGTCCACTTCCCCCCCCACTCCCGCGCCTCCTCCACTCCTTCCCGTTTCCCCTCCCACTCTCCCTCCCGGTCGTTCTCCCGCTCCTCCCACTCCTCGTCCTCTCACTCCTCCACCAAACAACATGACAAAGATCCCGCCATAACCCCGCTCCCGCTCCTTCACCCACTCGTCCCCCGTCTCCTCCTCCCTCTCCTTCTCCCGCTCCCCCTCTTGCTCCTCCTCCCGCTCCTGCTGCTGCTGCTCCTCCCGCTGCTGCTTCTGCTCTTCCCCCCGTTCCTCCTCCCCCTCCTTCTCCCGCTCCTCTTCGCTCGCCATAGCCCCGCTCCCGCTCCTTCCCCGTACCTTCTCCCAGTCCTCCTCCCGCTCCTCCTCCGCCCCTCCCCGTTTCCCGTCGTGCTCCTCCCGCTCCTAACCCCCTCTCCATTTCGCCTGTCGCTCCTCCTCCCGCTCCTCCTCCCGCTCCTCCTCCCGCTGCGCTCCCGAACGATCGCCTGTGCTCGCGGTCGCAGAGTGCATGCCACCCTCTCCGACCACATGCCACGGTCTACAACCCGCACGACTCGAACGGGAGCCGCTTTGTTCCCGGCCTTTTCCGACCCGACCACTTCCTCCCGCTTTTTTCCCCCTTGCTCGCTCTCCCCGACTGCATCCCCCTCCTTCTCCCGCTCCTCTTCGCTCGCCATAGCCCCGCTCCCGCTCCTTCCCCATCCCTTTTCCCAGTCCTCCTCCCGCTCCTCCTCCGCCCCTTCCCGTTTCCCCTCGTGCTCCTCCCGCTCCTAATGCCCTCCCCGTTTCCCCTGCCGCTCCTCCTCCCACTCCTCCTCCCGCTTCGCTCCCGAACGATCGCCTGTGCCCGCGCTCGCTGAGTGCATGCCACCCTCTCTGCCTGCATGCCACGGTCTACAACCCGCACGACTTGAACGGGAGCCGCTTCATTCCTGGCCTTTTCTGACCCGAACACTTCCTCCCGCTTTTTTTTCCCCTGCCCGCTCTCCCCGACTGCATCCCCCTCCTTCTCCCGCTCCTCTTCGCTTGCCATAGCCCCGCTCCCGCTCCTTCCCCATCCCTTCTCCCAGTCCTCCCGCTCCTCCTCCGCCTCTTCCAGTTCCCGTTTCCCGTCGTGCTCCTCCCGCTCCTAACCCCCTCCCCGTTTCCCCTGCCGCTCCTCCTCCCGCTCCTCCTCCCGCTTCACTCCCGAACAATCGCCTGCGCGCGCGCTCGCTGAGTGCATGCCACCCTCTCCGACCGCATGCCACGGTCGACAACCCGCATAACTCAAACGGGAGCCGCTTCATTCCCGGCCTTTTTCGACCCGACCACTTCCTCCTGCTTTTTTTTCCCCTGCCCGCTCTCCCCGACTCCATGCCACCGTCCACAACTCGCATGGCTCGAACGCGAGCTGCTCCGTTCCCGATCTTTTCCGACGCGAGGCCTTTCGCTATGCGCTTTTCAGTCGCGCCTTTTGCTATGCGCTTTTCGACGCTGCCACTTCCCAACACCGCCACGCCGTCGGTTCCCCCTTGCCCACTGCCCGAGAGCGGTCCCGCGCGGCGGCACCCGGTTTCTATTGGGCCCCGCGCGAGGACCGCTATTTCCTTTAGTAGTATAGAGATGACCAGGATCACCATAATAACTGCACTGATCCTGATCAATCCTCCTCTGCCAAACTATTTGTTCTAGGCCCAAATCTTACCAAGGCCTGCCCTGTGGTAGACCAGGGTGCCATCCACCTCTTATGTACGGTGACAGCCTCCCTCCAACCGCGATAGTAGCGCAGGTCCTTCCCTGACTATTGCCACTATCCTCTTCCTCTAGGTCCCACTCTATTTGATCATAAGGGACCTCTTCCAAACCACCCACCTCTTCCATACCACCCTCATCTAATGTAAGGAACAAGTGATCCTTGCCCTTGACTTGACCCGAGATGATACGATCTTTCCACTTCTTTCCCTTGTCAAGGCCCTTATGCCAGAAAGTGGAAACAGGCATGGACTTCGCTTCGAATGCTACCACTTCCATGGTGGACTCTCTACTCTTCTCGAAGAAGTGCCTGCGTAAAGGCTTGGGCATGGCATGATAAAACAGTTGGACCAGCTAGGTCTCAATGACCCCATGACCAGGGACAACTAATTCATCCATGACACCCTTGAGTGCCCTGGCGCTCCTTCGTTGGCGGGAATGAATGGTCTGCAGCTTGTCAGAGGCTCTAACACTTCGTGTGACATCTGCAAACCTCTCGCGCAGTAGCTTGAAGAAGTCACTGAGGGGGGTGATCAAGGAATAAGCGACCATATCATTTTTGCATTTAGCAGCGTGGCAGAGCGATCTAGCGAAACTAGCTGTCTCATCTTTGAGAGCATGGAAGGCGATAAGGACCTGCTCTTCAGGAACTATCTTTTGCAGGTGTACGTAGGAGTTCACATTCACCTCCCAGTTGTCGAAGTTCTCCTTCTTCTTCCCACTGTAAGAGTTTGTGAACTTTACCTTGACTAACTCTCTATGGGGATGGGCTTCCTCCTCCCTTGGAGAAGCGAGTTTTGTGCCCTCTATGGCACCCGTGCAGATAAATATATTAGTATTGTAAATTTAATAGATTGGTATATATTCTTTTCTATATGTATTTTTTTTGTCATATCATATTATTCTATATTACTACCTAATATACATCTATATATCATTATTCACATGTATATATTACTATTCTTTTTATTTCTTATGATATAATTATCGATTGTAGAATCGCTCCGTATTTTCTAGCCTAACCATACTTCTGAGCCCACGTGCGTAATCATATAACATGCGAACTCTCTAAATCCCAATTGAATTGATGGCAAGGCTACGTCCTCGCTCCTAGTGAACTGATACTGCTTGTCCCATGCTTTGGCCAAAAGCTCAATATTCCTTGACATCACCTCCATCTTCCCCTGTATGTCTGCTTGCGCCTTCATCTGCGCCCTTTGTTATTTTATAGCCTCCAATTCTTTCGCCACTTTGCTTACCTCCTCCATTCTCTTCTTCTTCTTCCTGGTTAAGCGCAACTTCCACTCCAACTTCTTCTCTTCCTTTATATTTTGGCGCTTTAAGGGGTCATCTTCTGCTTCCCACTCTTTCACTACCGCCTCCTGCTCTTCCCTAGAGACATGTAACATTGCCTCCTCCTCTTCTCCCAGGGATAGATTGGTGACCCACTCAGACACCTTTTTCTCCAACCACTGGTCCCCTTCCTTCTTCGTGCCACTGGACTCCCATTTATCCCTGAAACTCCTAATCAGGGGAACCTCTTCTGCCAACTTTTTCTCTTCTTCTTCTTCTTCTTCCACTGCTTTCATTTTTCCTTCCTCCTCCTTTTTCATCCTTTCCAATTCCTCCTCCAACTTCTTTCTTTTCGCAGCCTGCTCCGGCATTAAGGCCAACTTTTTGGCCTGCTTCACAACCTCCTCCTCCTTCTTGGCCTTCTGCTCGACCAAGATCCTTGCAACCTCCTCCTCCTGTTCCAAGGTGTAGGGAGTGGTGCTCACACCACCCCTGGTTTCTACCCTACATATAAAAGTTTTCCTGAACCCCAAGGGAAAAAAAAGATGCCGAAGGGTTCCCCAGAGGGAGAACCCCACGAGCAGACCGTACATCCGGTAGTCATCCATGGTGTCAGGTGAACGACAATGACTGTCCAACTCCTCACCACTTACACCTACCCACTAGACTGACTGACTGGCTGTCTAAGGATCACAGGATCCAGATAGGACCCTGTCAACTATGGTCACTAGCCTGGATCTAATACCATGGATGTCACTACAGGACTCAATAGTGATCAAGAGGCATTTTAGGAGATCCCCCGTAACTCCTCAGGAATTATTTAACGTCGCAGACAGGACGACGCGATCAGCAAGCCCTCTCAAGACTTAGACAACTCGTTGTGCAGCCCACAACTCGGATTTTGGGCCCACCGTGCCACATTGAGCAGCCCGCCAGTCCGTACCGGTCCTTGGGAGGGTTCGTGTCCACCAGGTCAGTCGATCGTCAAACACAACCTTTAGCCCTACTCAGCCTGTGTGGGTTTGGTCAACAAAGCTCTATGACCTCATACATAAGAGTCCTATCACCAGGACAAAAGAGACTCAATGCAAAAAGAAGAGTCAGACAGACTCAGCAAGTACCGTGGGGTGAGTGCACATCCATAGGGCGAGGGGATAGGCTGAAGGCTTGGCGAGAATATACCAACTCCAACTTGGTCAATTTCGTGGTCAACAGCTCCGGTCAACGCCTTGGTCAACGCTGGTCAATCCCCCGGTCAACACTCCAGTCAACCTCAATACCCCTTGGTCAACGTCCAGGTCAACTTTGGTCAACCCCTTGGTCAACGCCTTGGTCAACCCTCAACTCGGCTATGGCTGCCGCCCCTTTCTTTCTCACCACCCCTCGCTTCTCTTTCTCTCTCCACCCCGGCTATGTCTTCCTTCTTCTTCGTCGTCCCTCCTTCCTCTTCCTCATCGATGGCTTCTCTTTCATCCTTCGTCTCTCCCTCTTCCTTCACTCATCTTTCATCTACCACCGTGTCCGAGCTCCGCAGCTATGGCCGCCTTCGTCTTCCTTGGACCGCACAACAATCTTCTATCGCTCTTCTCTCTCTCTCTCTCTCTCTCTCTCTCTCTCTCTCTCTCTTCGTCGTTGTCTTCTTTGCAGGTACGCGGCACCTTTCTTCGACAACGCAGCTATGGCAAACCTTCCTCCTTTGATGGCGTGGACAACGATGACGCGCGGAGTAACCGGAACCAGCTCCGATACCAATGCAATCAGACTCTCTTTTCTTTTCTTTTCTCTTCTTTTCTTTTCTTTTCTTTTCTTTTTTTTTTTTTTTTTTTTTTTTTTTTTTTAAAAAAAAAACACCCCCGCCAGTGTTAGTGGTGCTGATAAGAGCAGACACCGCTACAACCCGGGGAGAGACTCTCTCTTTTCTTCGCTTCACATACATGCAAAGAGATAGCTTCACACTGGCGCCAAGCGCCCACTCGAAGCTCAGAGATATGGGAACCACGAACACAGTTCAGATGCAAACAGGCTTCAACAGGCTATGGCGCATCAGCGCCTGTACATCTCAACTCTCGTTACTGTGTCCAACACCTCTGTTCGCACACACTCAACTCTGGATCACCCTGAATACCCCACACACATACACACTAACAGCTATCTCTAACCTATGGCGGCTATGGCCGCCTTCTACTACTACTATGGCTACGCTATCTTCTTCCAGCCCACTTNCACACACATACACACTAACAGCTATCTCTAACCTATGGCGGCTATGGCCGCCTTCTACTACTACTATGGCTACGCTATCTTCTTCCAGCCCACTTAAGACTTCGGGCGCTCTGCAGACCACCTCGCACAAGACGCTGGGACAGCGCTTGCTGACTGTGCAAAGTGAGACTGGGACTGGGTACGACTGACTAAGCACAGTTGGACTCACCACTTGCCCACTTGCCTCTGGTCTGCTGTGTACAACGTGAGAAGAAACTTGAAAGGCCACTTCCAGACCTTCCGGAAGTTTGCGGACTTAGCCTTTCAGGACTGTAGCAGCTACGACCTTGACCTTTCAGAACTACAGGAACTATGACCCCTATGCAGTTACGACCTTGACCTTTCAGAACTAAAGGAACTATGACAGGTCTAAGGTTCAAGACCCGACAACTACTCAGACCTACGACAGACAACTTTCAACTACTAACACACAGGTCACGGGTTCAAGCCACACAGGGTCATAAACTGTCTAGGATCCGCATCTGTGACTGCAAAAGGTGAAAACCGTTTCACTGTCGCCCTTGTATAGAAAAAAAGATATTTAAAACATTGCAAGTCATTGAGGTGGTTAACTTCTTGCAGTATGAAGCTGCTGCTGCGATTCCTGCGAACACAGGCAAAACTCTTGGAATTGACATTTGGTTACATGTGAAATTATATCGTTTTTCGCATGCGTGCACGCTCGTGACCTTTTCGAAAAGCCATTTGTGCAAATTTAAATGAAAAAATACCAGGAGGGTTCAGCTGTCGCACAAACGAGTTAGGGGCGACAAAATCACCCGCCGCCAACAAACTGGTGCACCCGAGTTAAAAAAAAATCACACACTGCCAACAAACTCGCCCGTGCATAGAGTTTGCAAGGGCAACAACATCACACGCGGCCAACAAACTCGCACACCGCGTCTGATTTTGTTGCCCTTTACAAACTGGCACACTGTTACATGCCCGGTTGGGCGATGTACATACAAACCGAGGATCCACAATGTAATAAAAAGGACTGAATGGACAATGCTGTGCAAGTGGAATCTCAACTAGCAATGTGCATTCCGATACATACAAAATGGTGCTGAATAGCGCAGGGAAGACTTAGATACATGACCTGACCTGACCGAGACTGACCTCATTCACGTAGTAAGAGATAGCGAAGCAGAATGCTAGAATACTAATGACTAGCCCAATCAATGTTCGAACGCAGACCAAACATACATCGTGTCCATCACAAAGTGTGAAGGAGCCTGGCGCTGTACACAGGAAGGAAGCGCCAGGTCCAGACATACACAGACGAAGGAGGGGATCAGACGAAGAGGAGGGGGAGAGATGGGAATGTCGTCAACACCAAGTGTTTGTCACAAGTCCCAAATAATCCCTCGTCACAATGTCTGAAGCCCAAAAGTCGAGTCTGGATCCAATGTCACCAAGCGCTCTCTCTCTCTTTCTCTCGTAGTCTGCTGATGCAGTGA